TTCGAGTTGAAAAACAAGATGCGAAACACATACCCTACTTACAATAGAAAACAAAGCCTGGTTTAATCGTTCTCAACTTTCTCTAGAAAAGCGAATTCATTTAAGGGGGTACGCCACTGTAACATCTTAAAAGAAAAGCATTTTTTTTTTTTTTTTTTTTTTTTGGATGTAAGGAAAAGGGGCAAATCGAGCAAACCAGTCCCGGGTTGTTCGTTCACTCACAGCATTCTCATCGTACGTTTCACAAGTTTTTTCCTTTTTGCAGCGTTTTTGAAGTCATTAACGCCATCCCATGGGGAATTTTAATATGATCTACTCTATATATATATACATATGTAAGTTATACGGAAAGTTGTTCAAAAAAAAAAGAAAAGATGAATTTTTATTTCTCCCGAAAAATATCTATTTACTCATCAACATATGTAAGACTCTTTGTGCGAGCACTGTTTCCAATTCTTCAAACATGACAACATATCGACGTCATTATCGCAAAGCGATACTACGGTCATGAAAAAAATTCAATGAATAAAAAAAATTTTTACATTAACTTATCAAACATCCTTTATATGCTACGCCAGAGAATGTCATTTTAAAGATATCGTAGTAAATCTTTGGCGAGAAAAGCGCATTTTAATTTTTCAAATTTCTATTTCATTATATTGTACCGTTGCCAGGACGATAAAATTATGGCAGACTTTCCTGCAGCAATATTCTCTTTCATTCCCGTTCCTTAAAGACTTCATGCTCTAGGGACCGTCTTTTCCTGCATCTGTTGTAGATGGAATTATACCATTTATGCTTAATGTGTGGCCAAATGTGTGGTGTAGAAATCATTAAGAAAATGTATAATTCGGTAGAGAAACTTGTTCGTAAACTTTTGATTTTTTGGCAGAAATAATGAAAAGCTTTTGAATCGCTCTCAACTTCATATCTTCTCAGGGGTCGTCCTCATCAAGCCACACACTAACGTATACTTACTTAGAAATGCTTTTAAATTTCTTTTAAGCATTTTCAAAAAAAAAAATTTATTTATTTATTTATGTATAAGAAGAAGATATCAATACGCAAAAGATTAAGCTATGATTTTGCTGTTCGCAAAAAGCCCGAAATTGAATAGTGATGAAGTTCTTACGCTCACATCCTAGAAGATTCATAATAAAGATTCTGAAAAATTTACAATAAATAAATCAATTATTATATCAATGGTATCTGAGCGCTATTAATAAATTAATTTTGGACTTTTACCTTATGGTATAAGTTTTCCTTTCTTTAATTTCTTTTAATTTTCATATGTTTACCCAACAACAATCAAGAATTGTTTTGGTTTTTTTTTTTTTGCTTTAAAGCATCCAAATATGGTCGTTTGCAAACTGTTAAAGTGCGTACAATGAAATTCGGAACAGATCCGTTCGCTCGTTCATTTGCAGTTGCAAGTATGGCGCTTGCAAAACTAAACACAGACCACCAGAACGTGGCATAGAAAACTTGAGTTTACATTTACAGATTAATTTGCGAAAGAACATTGCTGCACTGATAAAGGCGTGTATTGAACGCTTTGAAGACGGATTGAGAAGAAAACTTTTGTTTTTTTGTAAAAAAGTTGCATTTCATTAAAAAAATATTGTCATGAAATGTGATCGGTCAGCTAATTATTGCTCAAGCAATAAAATGTTTGGCATTCTTATGCATTCAAATAAATAAAATATTTTTCACTTTAATATGTACTCCAACTGCTCCGCAATTTTATGGATAGATGGATATATTCGTAATTGTGATAGCAATCATGCAATATCATGCAAATGGCATTCAAGCTAAATATTTTTTATGAAAACTTGTTGAGAGGCACATATCCTTTATCTTTTCTGATGACGAGTTCATTTCATTTATGTCTAAATTGTCATATATATAGATATTATATTTTGATATTTAATAACGGATAGCGTTTGAATTATGCAAGGATGTGAAAGAGAACGAACAAATTCGTTATATTAAAGATGATTTGATTTACAGTAACTACTTATTTATTAAGTAAATGACATTGTAATGGGAGCATGAGATATAAATGCATGCATTAAATGAAGCCATAGAAGCAACATTAAAGCGAACGCAAATTATTATCATGAGCAACAGCTGTTTGCCAGCCATCAATAATAATGATATGGCTCCAAAGTTCCTATTAAAGATTTCTCAATGATAGCAATAATGGCTGCCAAAGGGAAGCTAACAGTTAGTTAAATCTCCAACTGCTTGCTAAATTGTCAAAAAAAAGAAAAAAAAAAAACCTTAGACGAATTTTAGCGCACAAGCAACAGGTAGGCATATATTTGTGAAACGAACGAACATATAAACAACAACAATAAAATACTCGTTGCGACAAAGGGATTTTTTTTAATTTTTTTTTTTTATTTTTTTTTTTTAATTTTTTTAATTTCACTTTCAATTGGTTCTTTATACAAAGATACGATGAATGCGAGAGAAATTACTGGTTAGGGAAAGCTTTTAAATGGGAATTTTTTTAAAAAGGAAAAAATCTCTGCACGTATTGAGAGTATTGAGTTCGTGAGAGAGTTGCAGTTTTGCGTTCGCGAAAAGAGAGTAGAAAGTTTTACTTAAACAAATAAGAGAATAGAGATTTTATTTACGGTAAATCACGAAAACATATTTATTGCATGATAGAAATTTCATTTTTCCTGATATTTTTCCTATAAATATTCATATATACATATATATATACGTATGTATATATGTATACATATAAAATTATTATACATTGTAGGCGATAGAAATTGTCTTCTTGTTTGTAATAAAATTTTGATGCAACTATCATACAAAAGCATACAGATTCTATCCGGGAAAGGTATATAATCCTGTATTAATCGATTCGAGAGATATAAGATCGGGACCTAAATGTAGATTGAATTAGAAAGATCATTTCATCATCATTAAATCCTATGTGTTTTGACAAAGTCGTGCTTTTTTCTCTTTATAACGACTAAATGTAGTGGAAACTAGTAGAAACGCTTAAGAACTGTTCAAATTATCCTTAATTTTTTTTTTTTTTTTTTTTCTTAAAAAAGTGATATTTCAATCTAAGCGTATATTTGACTGATCAGTCGGTAAATGCTACTACTACTAGGGTCCTGTTAAGAGTTTGCATTCAGGAGAAGTTAATATTCATTATTAATAATATAATCGCATTAAGCTTAACTATGTATCACTATGCCCGATGTGTTTAATAAGAAACGTAAAGCTTGATTTACGTCAACCAATGTATTTAAATCCGTACAGAAAGAAAAAGTAAATAGATTGTAGAAAATTTCTTGATAATCTAAGTTTATGCGTCTTCTTAATACTCTACGCTCTTTGGGTATCGACTCTTCTGTTCTTTAGAACGATTATTCCTGTTGCATCATGCAACAGAAATTGAAATCTTATCTAATTGAGTAATTTGTCCATTCAGTGTAGAGCAGACTGTGGCTCAGAATTAAAGACAATTTCATGACCTTTTCATATCCTAAATATATATGTAATTGAAGGATCGACGAGTTCAAATTGCCTATATATAGCGTATATTAGCTATCATTGGCCTTTATTTTAATCGGATAAAGTAAAACAAAAATTTCTTATTTATTGTTTGACGAGAAAGTAAGATAAGTAAGATAAGTTTAAGTTTTAGTCATAACATTGAAATTGTTTAAAAACATTAGCAGAGGAAATTAAACTTAAGATAATAGAATAGCTTTTTGAAAAACTATGCATAAACATTTGCTTTATGCATTTGGAAATTCGTACAAAAGGTAAGCTAAAGCGATTATCTGCCACATTGTACATACGCCAATGAAATATTAAAAGTTCCCTAACAAGATGCGCAGACGAAATGTCCGCATTTCCTAAATAATTGAATTAAATAAGTGAAAGTTTAGTGTATAAGGTAAACATAGACGACAATTTATAGAAGCACATTCGAATATATAAACTTTCAGAACAAAAAAAAAAAAAAAAATGCTTCGTATTTGATACGTGGTATTTTGTTTGTTTATAATTAATTGAATATATATATATATATATATATATATAAGTCAATAAATAACTAACTATCTATCTTATGAAATTCTCTGTTATGCTATATATTTTGTATCGCTATAGAAAAAAATCCTATGCAAGTTAAGCGCTTTCATCTTATTGTACTCACACATTACTCTTTTACTTTCCTCTTGTTCTCTTTATTAACTGTTTATTTACCGAAACGTTTTCGCTTAGTTGAAAGCAAACAGTAAAGTTTACATCGAATAAGGAATACTCAACGCCAATTTAAAAAAAAAAAAAAAAAACAAAAACAAAAACAAAACAAAACCAAGAAATTTACATGCAGTACCGCAAATCAACTAAAAAAACTAAAATGACACGAAAAAAAAAAAAAAAAACACGAAACATGAATTAAGTCTAAAAGAAATGATTAACTGAATTAATAATAGAACAGAACTGCCAGTCGCAGACCAAGGGCAAACTATTCAAAAAGTCCAAAGATAATCAATTTTTTTATATAAATAAAGAACAGTAACTGTATAATTGGCACTTGACTTACGATCATTACTTTAGAAAATCCGTTAATACGAACATCATTATAGAACTAAATTATTTATTATAAATGTAAAGAAGAAAATAAAATTTCATTTCATATTAAGAAAATAGGTAATGAGAAGACCCCAATAATTGAATAGCAAAGAAAAGTAAAAATTCCAATAGAGATAACTTTTACTGGAATATTGTGTTAAGACGAAACTATTAATTAACTAAGTATATCCTTTTAATTTTCAACTGATAGCTAATATAAAGTAAAAGAAAAAAGAACACATAAAAAAAGAAAAAAAGAAAATGAAAATGAAAAAATATCCCCAGAAATTCATCGGACACCTGCTAAAGTCTCATACGAAAGCTATTTTCTGGTATAAAATAATACAAACAATATACATACGTTCATAATGCAGCAAAATGCCAACGACGACGCCAGTACAATTTAGACGAACATTAGAAAATTTCCCAACAGTTTTCGTGTAGCTTTTCCGACGTTATGACGTGGTTACGGTTGAAGAAAATTCTTTCTTCTATAAAATCTTGTTAATAAAATAAATATTTTTTATTTTTAAGAAAATTAAATTAAAATAAGAAAAAATCATCCTTAATCCTTTAGAAAAGTGTTTAAATTATTCAAAAATAAATAATAAATTTACTAATAATAAAATATGTGCATATATATATATATATATATATATACATATAAACAAAAATCTTTCATGAAAAAAAGAAAAAATCTGTTTAATATATAAATATATATATGTATATATATATATATTTGTATCAGCAATATATATATAAATTAAATATTTTGCCAGTGTTTTAATCAACAAACAAGCCATTGTTAATAAGAAGAAGTTTGTTAATTTCAAAAATTTTATTACAGCAAAGACACCAAACCGAACGGAACCCTGTTAAGTCTATTCGTCAAGTATCTTTTTTTTTGAAATTCTGTTTTTTTTTTTTTAAATTTTTAATTAAAATGAAAATAACACACATATGTATATATCCATTATCATTATACACACAACAACAGTGCGTTTGATAGCTCAATGTGGTAGAGTCAAAAGCAAAAAAAGGAAAAAAAAACAAAATTGTAATCTTTCGGGATTTGAATTCACGCCTTTTTTTTTCATTAAACCAGCAATCCTTTGAGACCTTATGCGGCATTTAGTTGTAATCCTGGTGCAAGGAAAAAACAAAAATAAATAAAAATAAAATTAAAAAAAAAAAAAGAAGAGAAATGGGAAAATTCTCACATCATTTTGGCTTTGTTTATGGGAATTGTGAATGCTTCTCTGTACGAGTTAACATATATATTTATATATGTATGCGTACAAGTGTTTGTAAATTTCGTAAAAACATTTTATTTTATATTTGTGTTTGCCCCCACTTAGGGTTGTTAATATTTAATTACAGTACTTGTGTGTGCGCTGTGTGTGTGTGTTTGTATTTGTGTATGTATGTATATATATATATATATATATATATATATGTGTGTGTGTGT